TGGTTCATTTGCCTGTCTGCGGTCAGGGTATCTGCTGCTAGGAATAGTGTGGAGTGTTCAGAGTGCCCTCAGGAAATAGGCCCCTCTGAAGCAAGAAAAATACCCATAATTATAACCTAAGGGTCAGCACTTCACTGCCAACGAATATTTTCTTTCAAAACCATTTCAGATCCTCAAATACCTCAATACCAAGACTATTTTCTCTGAGTGGGTTACTGTGTCATCAAGTAACAGAGTTAAGGGGAAAAAGTGCTTTTGAAGCATTCCAGCCCCCCACCTTCCTCCTCATCCCCCCTCTTCTAGTTGGTTTCCAAAAAGAGCAAGAATGGGCATGTGCAGTTTTCAATTTCCTGAATTTTCCAACAGCCTGGGTTCTCAGGAAGCTGAATGCGTTTTGGCTTTGCTACAACTAAGCAATGTTCTCGTGGTCCCAGCCATTCATGAAAGCTCATGGACATGGTCAGGCACCTCTCGGAAAATAAAGCCACTTGGCAAGAAAGGAAATACCCCCTCAGCTCCCCCAACGTCTCAGGGGTACCCGTTCAGGGACCTTCTCTAGACCCTTTACCCACCTATTCAAAACCTATGCTCAAAACACCTTGAACCTGGTAGATGAGGCTCTTTATTTTGATATGGGAATTCTGAGCACCTTTCTCCCAGGCCTCAAAACACTTCGAGAATAGACCCTATTTTTGCCACATCTCTAAAGCGAGACTGTATGAGGAAAATCCCTGAACTGAGTCAGGATTTTCAACCACCTTTCAACAAAATGACCCTTCCACCTTTATGTCAATGTCTTCGTCTGACAAGGTAAAAGTGTAAACTATCGGGGTCGGTCACATCCTGACATTTATTTCTGTCTTGGAAATTGTTCGTGAGCTACAAAGACAGGTGAAGGTAAGGGGAAAAGCAAACCGAGAAAGGGCAAAGGAAGAAGGCTGAAAGATGATCTAAAAAAGATCTTTAGAAAATGAGGACCAGTGATTTGCAGCTTTCAAAAAGAAAAAAAAAAAAAAACGAATCAGAGGCTGGATGTGTTTAGATTAAGTTAGGTTAGGTTCCCCTACAAACGGAGATTGCTAAAGAAGAAAATAGAATCTGTGTCTCTGGAAATCTAAAAAATCTGTCTGACACTATCTAAAGCAGGGGTCCCATCCCACGACCTCTAAACGTCCCTAACGACCGTGGTATTTTATGCTTTCGTTCTCCATAAATCGAACTACTTCCCGGATGCTTTGCAGGGTTCAGAGAACTTCATGAAGACAGAGATTACCTTAGCTCTTAGCTCTTTTATTCCTAAAATACCTGCTGAAAAGCCACGAACCCTCGCTGGCCACCCTCCAGGGAGGCAGCTGCACAGGAGCGTGAGAGGGACACAGGTTCAAGCCCAGCTGACCCCGGTGGTCCCTCACTGCTGCGGTCTAGGGCAAATCGCTTGCCTCACAAAGTCTCGCTTTCCTCATCTTCATATTTATAGCAACTTCAGATAATGCAGATAAAATTGGCACATAATAGGTACTCAGAATGTAGTTACCTGCCGGGGCAAAGTAGTACGCGCTGGAGGTACAGCAGTGACCCTGCAAAGGAGGTGACCATTTCAGAGGGGTTTCCTTGGAAACCTGTCACCGCGGGCTTCCTTTTAGACCTGAGATGAGGCATGAGGCAAACGCGGGAGAGGGGCACAGGTCTCCCACAGCCAAACATCAAGAGGTCCAGCGGTGTGTGTCTGTCTGAGCAAGTGCTGATTTATCGCCTTGGGCCGTGGGCACTCGCAACACCAAACAGATGTGCAGCGTTGCTCTGGCAGGTTACGGACTGGAGCCCACGACAGCCTGGGGCACTGCCACGTGGGACCTGGTGTCCCCACAGAAGCGGGCAAGGAGCCTCCATTCAGAGAGCAAGGTCCCTGTGGGGGGGACAGCCATGCTGGCCCTGGGTCAGTTCCCTCCACCCGCCCCCACTACCATCCCCAGCTTCCCGAACATCGAAGCCCGTCAAGTAATGCCAGCCTCTCTGCCGACTAGTGTACTAAGTCTCGAACTGCTGTCCCCGGGCACATCTTCTGCAATAAAAGGGGCCTTGGTGACTGGCCGCATGCCTGCTATTCGGAGCAGAGATCGAACTTTCCAGCCATTGCCCACTGCCACCTGCTCGGCCTCGCTCCAACGCACGCGGTGACATCATTACAAGCATTATTACTTTAACTAGCCCTCTGGAGAATGTGCTGCAGTGACTGACATTCAGAAATGCAAACCATGAGAACCCAGTGACGGGCAGCCCCACACCCGCCACTCACTGAGGCCACTTATTTATTCCAGCCCTCAGGCAGAAGCCCTCGAGAAATAAACCACAGCCACAGCAGAGGCAGAGAACTCTGGTGCAGTTAAAAAAAACTTATCTAAAGCCAGTGACTGAGGATAAAATAATGGCATGATACTCAGATCCAAATACGTCTGTGAGTGAGAAAGACTGTGACACGTGCGGGAAGCCAGTGTCGCTGTGCAAAAGCAGGAAAGACTCTGTGGAGGAAAATAACCTGCCTTGGAGACAGCCGCCCTGGCTTTAGGGCTGCCCTCGACCAAAGTCTGGCGTGGGGACACCTTGCCAAGTCCACGCCATAAAACTCAGCCAAGGACACGTGGCTTCCTCCGCCAGATGCGCTGGCTGGTATTCAGAGACAGCCTGCTTCCCCTGCCAGGAGGGGTTCAGGCACAGGAAACCACCCCGCCCAAGCCGGGGGGTCCCTGGGCAGGCCGCCTCTGGGGGCTCCAGCCTCTGGGGATGTCCAGCCCCTCGGGGTCCCTGGACAGGCCGCTTTTGGGGGCTCCAGCCTCTGGGGGTGTCCAACCCCTTGGGGTCCCTGGGCAAGGCCACCTCTGGGGGCTCCAGCCTCTGGGGGTGTCCAGCCCCTTGGGGTCCCTGGGCAAGGCCACCTCTGGGGGCTCCAGCCTCTGGGGGTGTCCAGCCCCTCGGGGTCCCTGGGCAAGGCCACCTCTGGGGGCTCCAGCCTCTGGGGGTGTCCAGCCCCTCGAGGGTTCAGCCTTGGGGGACTCCCTCCAGGGAGAGGCTCCGCCCGGTCTGTGACTCTCACATCTGCCACTTTCCACTGAACATCGTCCTGCCAGCCTGTGGTTTCTCTCCCCTTTTGTGTGTTTGCACTTAATCTGGATCTCACAGACTTCTCTCCAGTAAGAATACTTGACTTTTCCAATATCCTCTGTTCCTCTACAATCTTCATCTCAGTCTAGTCGTCAGCTAGCTGAGAACGGGGCCGGGGGCTGCCTGGACTTCTTCAAGTAAAGGTCCGCACAGCTGCTTCACGGCTCAGAGAGGAAAGAAACCGGATACGCAGAAAACTTTCAAGGCTCTGGTCTACGCTGACAGAGAACCCCAGGTCTGCAAGGGACCCCGAGGAGCTCTTTTATTCTCTTCCTTGCCTCCAAGCAGGGCTACATCCAGCGCCAGATAAAATGTTATCTTTCAGAAACATAACTGTGTAAAGCTAAAATCAACAAACCTATTTTCTGGTTACAGAATTTTGAAGAATTCGTTAGAGCTGAGAGTGCATCCCCCCCTTCCTCCCACTCATATGTATGCACACGTGCCTTGCTTTGCTGCTGCTCTCAATACATGCCTGCTTTGCATAGCAGGCAGCCTCCTACCTGGCTGTCTGCCCTTTTCCCTAAGCTCATGGGACGGCTTCTCCCTCGCTCACTCACAGCAGTCACCCCACACTTGACAGGGTCCGGAAAGAGCCCAGCCCAGCCACTGGCTGCTCCTCACAGGTGCCCCTCCCGGGCGACACACTACCCCTGTCCACGGTCCTGTCATTGCAGGTAGAATCGGAGCGGGGGAGGGGCGGAGGAAGGGGGGCGCACACCTGTTCTGGTCACAGGACTGTAGAGACAGGTGCCGACACCTGGATCTGGCCTGTGCGGAGACTGTGCCGCTCAACCAGGAGGGGGCAGGTTGGCACGGTCGACGCGAGCATAACCATCACATCAGGGAGCGTTGTGATCACTACAGACGAAAAACGTAAGGTGCTTAGAACGGTACCCAGGACGCTGTAAAAGGGGGACCACACAATAGTGACACGGAGGTGCTCATTGCTGTTTAAATAACAGCGGTGATGATGATAAACAGGCAGTTCGCAGTGTCCGGGATGATCGCAGCTCCCGAAAGCAGAAACGAGACGAGCCTGCACATCTGTTACCTGCTTCGTCTTCAGCGAAAGACGCGATGAACTTGCTATGCGCGCAGATCAGCCCTGGCAAGGCCCGGGACGCGGCGCCGCCCAGGCAGATGCCCGTTCCTCCCGTCCCCTGACTTCCCTATCTTCCTGCAGAGCTAGAAGTCGACTAGATGGAAGTAAAACCTTGTGTTGTAGGAATCCGTCTTTCCACCCCGCAGCATATTTTTCTGCCTAGAATCAGGGAACCCTCGAACGTGAAGCTTGGGTCTCCCACAGGAGAGTGAGAACTAGCCGCCCCCAAGAATCCAACTACATTTTTGTAACAGAGAAACGGGAGGAGGGAGCAGTCAGGATGACTGCCAGCCCGGCTCTGCTTTCCCATCTGGACCCGTCGACTTCCCACCTAGCTGAATGCTGCTTTTGAAAACACAATAGAGCATCCGTGATTCACTGGTGACTGTGCCGTTTCCACGGGCTGTTCGCTCAGAGGTCAGATGATGTCATCGCCCTAGAAGCCTTGGGCGGGACCAGAAAACACTTGGACTCAAGTCAGCCAGTGAATTCACGGCCCCAAGGCCTTCTCAGAAACGGGGGTAACTGTACCCATAAAAACGAGGGCATTCTCTCATCCTACTAGGATCTGGGGGTGCTTTCGGATCTTTTATTGACATGTATGTCTCGGTTTTCTTTTTGCCATGCAAAACACTGAGTCCAGACACCTACTGTTTGGAAAGTTATTCTAAATGAGTCTGTTGACAGAATTATAGGACAGCATTAAACGAGCGAACAAAGAAAAACTGGGCCATAATAAAACATAAATCTTTTTATCTACTCAGGACAAGTAAGTACGAATCGGATCTTATTGTTTGGGGCAAAGAGCGATTATGAAATTAGCAGGAAAAGATCACACAGCAAGTTTCCTCAGACATAGTGACAGCATGAGTTTCTGATTATTAAAATATGTAACATTTCAGATGAGACTACATATTTGAATTACATAATACATGTGATTATGTAATACTTATGCAATAATTAATTCAACAATAATCAGTGTCAGTTCAGTAGGTACATGTTATCGTGTGCAAAGTATTGTGCTGGAAGAGAAAGGTTTAGCAGAAAACATACATAAAATAAACGTTTTCAAGGAGTTTATGCTCTTTGAAGAAAGTTTAAAATAACTGTCCAAATATTATAATACTATGTTTCCAAATAATACAAGGCAGATTATATTAAAATGACAATAAGGAACTGGCATTGGGGATTCGAAGGAGAGACAGACGGCACCAGGCTGCGGGGCGGTAGGAACATCTTCAGGATGGCCGAACAGGACATTTAGACAAGGAACAAGTGGGGGAGAACAGAAAACGAGTTTGCCCTGAGCCCGGGTAGGCGAGCTCAGGAGACAAGTCTGCAGCTACCAGCTGGGACGAGACTGAGATCACGTTAGCATCCACTTCTGAAGCAAACATGATTATTCTTTTAAAAAACTACTGCATTAGTTTGCTAGGGCGGCTAGAACAAAGCAGCACAAACTAGGCAGCTGAAGCCACAGAAACTTCTTGTCTGAGTTCCGGAGGCTGGAATGTGAGATCGAGGTGTCGGCGGGGTGAGGTCCTCGGAGGGCCACCAGGGCGGATCTGTGCCAGCCCCACCCCAGACTTTCGGGCTTTCCTGGCAGCGTTTTGCATTCCTTGCCTCGTCTACGCATCAGGCTGGTTTCCGACTGTGCGCACGTGGTGTTCTCCCGCGGGCACGTCTGCGTCTAAACCTCCATTTCTTATAAAGACGTCAGTCACGTTGAACCAGGGCCCACCCTAGTGACCTCGCTTAACCTCTGTGAAGACCCCGTCCCAAATAAGGTCACATTCTGAGGTGCTGGAGGTTGGAACTCCAATGTGTTTGGGGACACACAATTCGACCCATAGCAGTTACACACACACACACGCATGCACACGCACGCACACACACGCACGCAGTCTCATATGGCAAATGCCTTTTAAAGATGATGTGGAGAGGTTAAGAGTCTAGTGTTTATCCTCGAATCAGGTCACGGAAAAAAACAGAAAAAATGCAAAATGTTCTAGCTCAGTAAGTAGCTTCCCACAGTTTACTCATTTCTCTCGCAGTTCATCTGCCCTCACAGACCATCTGCCTTCACTCACTGTTGAAAGTGAACACGTGTGTGTGAGATCAGGGAAGTATTTATAACTCTTCTCGTCTGTATTACACGTTACAATTTACAGATTATTCTCACATGTCATCTCCTTGACCTTCACAACCACCCTACTATGTGAGCAAGGTGTGTACTGTGTTACGAAAGTACCAACAAGTGAGTTAAGACACAGACAGGTTCCGTGAAAGATTAGGGTCATGCTTTAGGTGAAATAAAAATATGGCAATAAAAAATTTAGGTGTTTTGAATTATATCATGATATATCCAAATGAAGGAAGGAAATAAGGAAGGAAGGGAGGAGGGAGGGAGAGAGGGAGAGGGAGGGAGGGAGGAAGGAAGCAACAGTCGTCACTTTACTTGTTTTTCTTCATTTAAAAAATCTGTCAGATGCGGCCAGCCAACTGAAGAGCATGTTTAGATAAGATTATTTCGATTCTTGGCACACGCATGATGGGAGTTATAAATAAACGACTATCACTGTGGGGCTGAGGGGACAGAGAAATTCACAATCTGCCTCTATTCACTGAGCTTAAACGGCTACACCCACATCCACAAAGACAACGTCGGGAAGGTTCTTCGTAGCACTAAGAGTGGACTCTTGGTGGCTGATTGTTTTTTGGGGGAGCATAAATCTTGGATGGAGGAAAAGTCTCAAATAGGCTAGTTTTTTTAAAATGAACTTATTCAGAAGATGTTAAGTCAGATGACAAGTAGACCACATCCATCAAGGGTTTGTTATATCCCTTTTAAGATATTTAAAACATAAATATTCTAATTTGATCTAGCAGAAAAAGCCCCTGTGCTGTAAAGATGGATAAGTAAGTAAATCCAAAGGGCACTGACCCCTTCCTTAAAGAATGGTCTGGTTTTGCCTTAATTTAAGAGAACAAAGGAAGTATAATACTACCTGATATCAAACTATACTACAAGGATACAGTGATCAAAACAGCATGGCACTGGCATGACAAAAAGACACACAGACCAATGGAAGAGAACAGAGGGCCCACAAATAAAGCCGTGCCTATGCGGTCACTTAATCCATGACGAAAGAGGCATGAAAATACAATGGGGTGAAGACAGTCTCTGCCATCGATGGTGCTAGGATAACTGGACAGACAAGTTAAAAAAAAAAGAAAAAAGAAACTAGACGGCTTTCTTAGACCACGGACGAAAAAAAACCCACAACGGAATAAAGACTTACATGTTGGATCTGCAACCATAAGACTCGTAGAAGAGAACACATGCATCTCTGTCAGAAACATTTTTTTGGTTATGTTCCCTCAGACAAGGGAAACAAAAGAAAAAAAACAAACAAATGGGACGACATCGAAATAAAAAGGTTTTGCATCGAGAAGGAAGCTGTGACCCACAACAAGACAATCCACTGAACGGGAGCAGACATTCGACAATGACACGTCCCATAAGGGGTTAACACTCAAACTATATAAGGAACTCATACAACCTAACCCCCAAAACATGATCGATCAGATTTAAAAATGGTTAGAGGACCTAAATAGACATTTCTCCAAAGAGAACATACAGATGGCCAAGAGATACATGAAAAGCAGCTCAATTTCAGTAATCATCAGGAAATGCAACTTAAAACCACAATGAGATACCACCTCAGACCTGTCAGAATGGCTGTCGTCAATACATCAACAAAGGACGAGCACTGGCGAGGACATGGAGAAAAGACAGCCCTTATGCACCGTTGGTGCCACGGAAACATTAAAAACAAAAGCACCACAGGACCCAGCCATTCCGCTTCTGGGCGCTTCTCTGAAGAAATCCAAAACACGAATTTGAAGTTATATGCGGCCCTGTGCTCACTGCAGCATTATTTACAATAGCCGAGATACAGAAGCAGCCTAAGTGTCCATCCAGCGACAAATTGTTTTGCTCAGGGTATTACGCTGAGCAAAACAAGTCAGGCACAGAAAGAAAAATCCCATATGGTTTCACTTACACGTGGGATCTAAAAAACAAAATAAATGAACAAAACAGAAACGAACTCACAGAGAACCAATGAATGGTTGCCAGATGTTAGGGGGGGTGGGGAGTAAAAAAGATGAAGGGATTAACAGTAAAAATTACCAGTTATATAAAAGTGTCGTGGGAATGTAAAGCAGGGCACAGGGGAACACAATCAATAATAGAATGATAACCACGCACGCTGTCAGACGGGTTCCAGGCTTACCGGGGGCATCACGCCCTAAGGTAGAGAAATGTCTAAGCACTACGTTGTACACCTGAAACTGATATAATGCTGTATGTCAACGACAAATAAAAAGGAAAAAAATTAAAATAAAAAATAAAGAGCTGCTTCCCAGCTCAGCGCTTTGCACGTTACGCTGACTCACACCGACCGGGGGAGCAGTACGAACGGTACAGAGCGCAGGGTTTGCGGCCACGCGGACCGGGGCTGGGCCCAGGTGCCACCACCGACCAGCTGTGACCTTGGGCAAGGTCCTTAATCTCTGAGGACCTGATTTCCTTTTCCGGTAAGATATGGATCATGCACAGGAAGGCGGTGGCGATATGACGGAATGTGAAGCCCAGAGGGCTCGATCATTCATGAAACTTTAGAAATCATTCATCAAACTGGCTTGAACTTTAGCGTGGTCCTAAAAAATCTCAGTTACTGTCTCCGGCCACGCCACCCTGAACATGGCTGAGAGCGTCTGCTCTCGGAAGCTAAGCAGGGTCGGGCCTGGTTAGTACTTGGATGGGAGACCGCCTAGGAAGAGCAGGTGCTGCAGGCGTTAAAAAATTAAAACAGTTGTTGACTTACACTGCTCTCATTGCACAGCTAGCTAGGAACATGTGACATAAAAAGTCGAGGAAACGGTTTTGTATGGGAACCAGGAACCACAGTTACTCATTTCACTTTCTCCTCCCCTACATTCTGTTGCCAGAGGTCATGAGAATGCGGAAATCCTGTTACTTCTGACTAAAGGGTGCAGGGAGCAGATGCCCTGACGATCTCGGCCTACGCTCTCGAAGAAACGCTTACTCTACCAGTTTTCACAACGTTACAAAGCTCGGCTCTCACTTCAGGGATGTTATCCTTGGGCTGTGAGCCAAGCTTTCCCACTGGACTTACTATACGACCCTGGGCACAACCTCACGGGCAGGGTCTCCTCCACTGTCCAGCTGTCCGCTGCTGCGCCTGGTTTCCAAGACAAAGGAGAGGACACAGGACTTCTAAAGCATGCCTAAGACCGCTGCTGTGTCAGGCAAACCAACCAGCCGACAGCGCTGTGAAGTCAGGCCGATGCCAGCTGAAAACGGTCAGCCCCCTTTACCTCAGTGACCCAAATTACTCCTCTAGAATCAAAGGTACCTCTCGACCAGAAGGTCACTCAGCCCCAAACTGCCATGTCTTAACACTAAAAGAGACAGAGGAGTCCTCTTCTAAATTCTGTTTCCAAAGTTGCTCAAGAGAACTCATCACCGACTTATTTTTCGTGGTGTAAATCTAACACGGATCACTTAGACCCTCAAAGAATACAGATTCGCTTAACAGTGCCACAGTTAAGTTTTATTACACGGCAGTCAGAGGCAAATTATCTGCAAAGAGCAATAACTGCTGTTAAGAGCTCTATTCTCTGGTTAAACAAATATACATTTTTTGAAGATTATTCTTTAATAAATATATTTTATGGTACAAAAAGGAAAAATATTTATTAACAAAAAGCAAAGGCAGTGAGACAGTTTCTCTAACTGCAACTCATAGCACAAGAAAATATAATATAAAAATAACATTTCTGTAGCCATGAAACTTGAAACACCAAATAAATAAACACATTCCTTAACTATCTAATGACCTACTACACTGTAGCTACTGATTTGAAAAAACTCACATCAATATCAGAGTCCAGGATTTACAATACTGCATTTTTTTACTAATTTCTTCATCCGCTTAATTTTCTTCCTGAAAACTTGATGATCCTGTTTTGAAATATACCGAAAGTATCTACAACCTAAAAAACAAAGCGAAATAAAGAAAAAGTTTTAATACTTAACAAATTCTTCAAGTATATTTCCACATTTTAAAAATTTTGCTTCAACTCTGGCATACTAATGATTATGGGAATAGAATATTTATCTATACCAGTATGTCCTAAGCACATTCTGAGAGCCATCACTAACGAAATGTATTTCTTCCTACAAAGATGTTTCTAACCGACCATAATTAAAGCATATGCCACAGCTTGTTTTTGACCCTGCCTCCCAAGCCCTAGTTGACATGCGTATTGCATACATCCATACATTAAATGAGCTTTTTCTAAAAGCAAATTACCAGAGCTTTCCTGCTCAATATTAGCTTGGAAAGCAGCCAGAGGCATCTGTAACAAGCTTCTACAGAGAAAACCCTGATGTAAAAGATGGGAATAAACAAATCCTTCGTCAGAAGAGATCGGAAAGTCACTCTGGCAGCCTAACAAGCGGCTGCTGATCGGTGATCACGTAGCTCTGTCAAAGAGGCCTAGTGTTCACCAGAGGTGCAGATCTTCTGCCCACTTTCTAATCGGGCTGTTTGTTTTGTTGTTGTTATTGCTGAGGTCTTTATATGTTTTGGATATTAGCCCCTCATCAGAGGTATAGTTTGTAAATATCTTCTCCCATTTGGTTAGTTGCCTTTTTGTTTTGAGTTTCTTTTGTTGTGCAGCTTCTTGGTCTGATGTAGTTCCATTCATTTATTTTTGCTGTTACTTCCCTTGCTTTTGGGGTCAAGTTCACAAAAACGCCTCTGAGAACAAGGTCTATAAGTCTAGTGCCTATGTCTCTTCTGTGCATTGTGTTTCAGATCTTATATTCAAGTCATTAATCCAGTTTGAGTTTATTTTTATGTATAGTGTCAGAGAGCAGTCTAGTTTCATGCTTTTGCATGTGGCTTTCTGATTTTCCCAGCACCATTTATTGAAGAGGCTTTCTTTTCTCCACGGTATGTTTTAGGCTCCTTTGTCAAAAATCAGTTGCATATATATATATACATGTGTGTGTGCGTGCGCGTGCGTGTGTGTGCGTATGTTGTGTATTTATTTCTGGGCTCTCAATTCTGTTCCACTGGTCTCTGTGTCTATTTTTCTGCCATTCTCGTACTATTTTGATTATTGTCGCTTTGTAGGATAATCTGAAGTCACGAAGTGTGATACCTCTGACTTTGTTCTTTTTTCTCAGGATCGCTTCGGTTATTTGGGGTCTTTCGTGGTTCCATACATACGTGACGATTTGTTGTGGGGACTGCATTAAATCTGTATATTGCTTCAGGTATTATGGCCATTTTAGCTATGTTAACTCTTCCAACACACAAACACAGAATATCTTTCCACTTCTTTGTGTCTTCTTTAATTTCTTCCAACAACGTCTCGTATTTTTCAGTGTACAGGTCCTTCACTTCCTTTGTTAAGTTTATTCCTAAGTATTTTAGCCTTTTTGTTACAATTGCAAATGGGACTGTTGCATCATTTCTTTTTCTGATATTTCGCTGTTAAAATATAGGAATGTAACAGATTTTTGTACATTGATTTTTACATCCTGCAACTTTATTTACTGTTTCTAACAGTGCTGGTGGAGTCTTTAGAGGACCTGAAAGAACACCTCTCCCAAGAAGACATACAGATGGCCAACAGACACAGAAAAAGATACTCAACATCACTAACTAGAAGGGAAATGCAAATCCAAACCACAATGAGGCACCGCCTCAGTTGCGTTAGGATGGCTACTAAAGATAAGATGAGAAATAACAGTGTTGGAGAGGATGTGGAGGAAAAGGAGCCCTCATCCACTGCTGGTGAACACATAAACGGGGGCAGCCTCTCCGGGAACAGTATGGAGGAGCCTAAAAAATTAAGACTAGAACCACCATATGACCCAGCCAGCGATGCCTCTTCTGGGTACAAACGAACTAACAAAACAAACTCACAGGCACAGACAACAGTGTGGTGGTTACTAGAGGGGGAGGGGGTGGGGGAAGGATGAGGAGGATAAGGGGGTCAAGTACATGGTGACGGAAGGAGCCCAGACCTTGGGTGGTGAGCACACCATGCACACACAGACGGTGTGTGAAAGAATCGCACACCTAACACTCAGCAATGTTAGTAATGAGAATCGCACACCTAACACTCAGCAATGAAGTCGCCTCGCTAAATTTAATTAAAAAAAGAAGTTCTACCTGTTTTTCAGAGTCTTACAATGCTAAGAAGATCACTTGTTAAACATTTCAGAGATATAATTCAAATTTCTATAAGAAAAATATAAACTGGATATTATGAGATTTTTTTCTATCTGCTAAATGAACGAGATCATAAATTGCAAATTAATTTCATCATAGTCTCAACTTGCATATAACTAAAATTAATTTCATTATAGTTTTGGCCTGTATATAACCAACCACCTTCTCCGGGAAATTGCTAGCATATATGTTGTATCTACAGTAACCATTTTATTATCCTTGAAAACAGTATGTCAGAATTGCTAATATTTTAGTAGCTGGGAAGCAGTGGTATCTGTGGTATCAATATAATAATTTGTGTCTCTAAACACATCTACCCCACTCCAAGCACGAAGGAGAGACAGACCACGACTAGAATTTGAATCCTATGATGTCATGAGGCTAACCAGAACAAGAAAGAACAAAACACAGCTCAACGCTTGAACAGACTGACTCAACCCCACGTAAACACCTTGAAAAAAGGAGAGGCGCCCCATTTTCAGGCATCATCATGCCTGATGTTCACGGAATGCTTGAGAATTTATAAAGCATTTCGATGTGCTATTCGCCTGATGCTTACAGCAATCCTGCAGCCATCACGGAGCGGTGTCGCCGGCCTATTTCACAGAGAAGGCTCCCAGAGGTTAACTGCTTGACCACAGTGACATGAAAAGCTATGTGACAGAACCGGAAAATCAACCCAGGTCTTCGGACCCTGCTCAAACACAAACCCCTTTCAATATGGGTGCTAGATACTCTATACTCATAAAGAAATACACTCTAGACTCTAGACTCATAGCAAACCACAGTCCAAATCCCATTTCTGTTCCCTGTCATCAGTATATCAGAGAGATTTCTGAATCGCTTCCGCTTTAGTAATCCCTTTCCTCCTACAATGCCAGCATTTCGGTAACCTTAGTAACCACTTGAAACATTCACTGAGAATACTAATTCCAAAATAATATAAATCTCATCTAACACTGACCCGCAGAATCTCTTTAGGCGACTAAGCGCTCTCGCGACGAACCGCTGACTCGTGGTGACTGTGGAGTTCCGTTCTTCAGCTCTGAGCACGTGTGTGGCGGTCCCGTTTGAGGACGGGCTACCTGTTCATACTTCAGTGGTACAGAGCAGGTCAGAGTTTTAACGGCCAAAATACTCCACGAAGATTATGTTCTCTCTCATAAGAGGATTTTTAAATGAAATTACTAGCAGGTACACTTTTTCTTAAGGGGAGGAAAAGCTTCATACTTATACGAACAGATAAGTACATATAACGAAGAGCTAGTATAAAACATTGAGGTCGGTAAAGAATATTTCTCTATTCCTAATGACGACGACGATCTCAGTAAACTCTCTACACAGCACGGCCAAGTGGTCGTTGTTGTGAACACAGTCATAAGGACCCTGAAAGACACTCAAGTCAGAGCATGAAAACCAACCACGGTCGGCGTGGAATCCGTCACTAATGTGTGGCCTTCCTCACTAGCAGGTCACCTGGCCCCAACCCAGGAGTCACCTAGTACCCTTAGGTACTGCACTGGGCATGCTACCAGGTGAATGAATGGTCGTACTTTGTAATTTCGAAATTGTCTAAAAGCCATGTCTAGGTAAAAAGGAAACAAAAACATGTACCTTTTCCCAGCAGGATTCCAGCTACCACAGCTTTCTCAGAAGCCAAAGCTTTATCCTCCTTCCAATCGCTCTTGGCCCAGAAGTAGCTGAAGTGAAAGCTCGGCCACCAGCTTCTCCTGGAGTCCCACCCCTCCCGAACCCAGGCCACGTGACGCCTGAAAAACAAATGTCAGAACAGGTGAGCGATGGACCGGTCTCTGCTGTCCGAATTGGGACCTACGCAGCGTCTGTGGAAAGATGACAGAGGGGACGACAGAAGCGTTCCCAGACCAGCTTCTGAGTGCGGCCACGCAGAGCACAGGCACGAAAGCGTGATGCTCGGCTTCTCTGAACAGAACGGCCAGCTCGGCACAGTGGCTGACGGCACAGACTCTGAAGTGCAAATCCGGATTCGAACCCCAGATCCTGGGCGAGCTGCTCAGCCCTCTGAGCCTCAGCTTCCTTGAGGACATTAACGGTGCCCACCCCACAGTACTGGCATCAGGGTGACACTGGGCCAGGGGACAGCAGTGCAGTCGCATACAAAGCTCTGTGCGTGCTGCTTGGTACACAGTACACATTCAATAAACATTAGCTATTTTTATTTTCACTTAAAAGTCACTTTAAAATGTTCCCTTGAATAATATGCTACGAAGAATTACATCCAAAATCAGGTGCTATTATTACACAAATATATAAGCACACAGATTTTACACTGCTCGCAGACGATGCTAAGTGTTCATCAGTAATTTAAGTGAGCAAGTTCATATTCAGGGCCTCGTTGCACCTGTGGCAGAAGTGCAAGAGGCCCAAAAAACAATAGCACATTGCTCTGTCTCCGAGAACTACGGTCAGCAGGGATGACGCAGTGCTTCAGATTCGCAAAGTGGTTCACGGGGCGCACACCAACATGTCACGCCAAAAACATCTGATGACCAGCGCTGTTCCACCTCCAAGGTCAAGCCAGATCGACGCCTGAAATAGGTTCCCACTGACAATGAACTTCCTCACCAACTAAAATGGACACAATAACTGAAATCTAATTTTGTAAGATCCCTCCTCTCACACAAAATGAAAATGGCAAGGGCCGCTCCTTTTCTTTTTCTAAAAATGTGGCACTTATAATATTATGAGCAGATGTATCATTTTAGATACCAAGCTTGCAACGGACTTAATATTTGTTGAATGAATAACCTACAATGATCTTATGGGGCCCTACAAGCCCATGAAAATTATTAAAAAACAGCTGGGAAGAAACCCGCTTCCCATGTGATCTTAGAAGCTGATGACACACCAATCACGACGAGCTTTCCACGAGCCTAAGAGGGCCGGTCCCTCTAGACCTAATCTCCAGTCAGGAAGCATACGTTTTCCCGGACAGCGCGGTGGTGCTCATTCTATGGTGTGGTACTTATGCTGTGACGTGGTACTTATTCTGTGGCGTGATACTTATTTTGCTGGCATGAGAAACCTTGATGGAAGTTTTGTATGTTATACTTGGGACTGTACTTCCTGGCTTCTGATGTACTCGCAAAAAAACAGCAGAAGACCCAGTTCGAGAAACCCAAAAACATAAGCAAAGTTTATTTAACTGACAGATGTCAGCTAGATTATTGGAAAATATTCTGTATGCGGATCCAGTAATGAATACTACAGGTCACTTACTTACCCCATTAAGGTCTCTCTGAGATATTTTGCCAAATATTTCCAAGCGGTTACGTTTTTCGTGCATCCCGCAAAATCTAAGACAGCAAACAGCACCTCCAGCCCCAGTCTGCGGTGCTCTTCCCGTCCTGCAACGATGACAAGGATCGGGGTTGACATGAGGGGCTGAAGCGCACAGAGCTGAAGCGACACACTCCGCTGGAAACGGAGGACCGCATCGTTAAGCCTCCCCGTTTGGCCAACCGCTTAAAACAGTTCATGACTCCCCAAAAACTGTACTAACAGCCATGCCAATAGCATAAACAGCCAATTAACATATTTTCTCTGTTATATGTATGAAACAGCATTCTTACAATAAAGTAACCTAGAGAAAAGAAAACGTTAAGAAAATCGCAAGGAAGAGAAAATACGTTTATTTACTGAAAAACACCCGCGTGTAAGTGGACCCACGTGTTCAAGGGCCGACTGTACATTACCGAGAACATTATTTAAAGTACCTGCCCCACTTGGGTATTTTACATATGTTCTCCTCTGTTAGGAGAGGCACCGAGGTGGTCCCAGTACCCAGTGGACTTCATTCAGCTGATTTCTTCCTACGCAGGTACCGAGCCGAGAGGCAGTGGCGACAGAATGAGGTGCACTGTGTAAATTAAAGCCATCTCTCTTCTGCTGATACTGCCTAACGCTCTAAAGCAGGAGCAGCTAACTTTTTCTGTAGAGGGCCAGACAGTATATATTTAAGCTTTGTGAGCCATGTGGCCGCTCTCACTGTGCATCTCTGCTGGTGTGGAGCCAAAGCAGCCACAGACAGCAGGTATGTGAACAGATGTGGCTGGGCTCCAGGAGAACTTGATTCACGAAAACAGGTGAGTGATGGATCTGGCCACAGGCCGAGGTTTACTGAACCCCCGTCTACAGCTTGCCTGCACAGAGATATATAACACAAACACGACATACCTGATTTTCTCAGTAACCTGTGGAATTCTAACATCAGTTTATGAGACGGTACAATCTGATACAGAATCTGGAAGAAATAATAATTTTGCAATTTTTACATATTTGAAAGGCATTTCTCAAATCTCAGCTTCCTTTTAATGAAAGTCCTTACAGTCAAATATTCCCTCAGTAAACGAATCGAGGATTTAAAAGACTCTTTGCTCTTATCCAGTTGTTATCACAGTGGTTACGTGGATGTACATATCTGCTAGAATGCATCTGAGTGTACACTTAAAACACAGGTTTTATTATATGTAAATTAAAAGGTGATTTTTTTTAAAATAGCGATGCAAAACTCTCCGACCAGGATGGCAAAGGGTTACTGACCCTCTCCCCTCGTCTCCCGGGGGCAGGGGCTGTGGGGCTGGTAGTGGTGGGGGTTCTGCCTGGAGCCTGCAGCCTCCCGTTCCCCTCGGTACACCACGCGGACACTGTGCTGTCATGTGAAAGCTGGAAAGCGCTGACCTAAGAATGCTTTAGCGCAGATCCCCAACCCTGTTCAAACATTCAAGTAAAAACGCTGTACCTTAAGCACGCTTATCAGCTTCTCTCTCGGCGCCTTCTCTCTCTTTAGAAAGTCGTACAGGTAGACATGTGCGTTCGGATTCGATGGGAACTTTTCATCGTAGGCATAATTGGTGAGCACCTCTCGGGCTCCATCTTGATCGCCATAGAATTCCAGCATCTACAGAAAAGAAGTCACCATCTCTTAGCTCAGTTCTGTGAGGCAGCTATGCGAAAGACAAGGCGCAACTGAACTTTCCTGATGGGCACGAAAAATCGTTAAGCTGAAAAACAGTACTTACTGCATAGGGGACAACAACAATGTCAGTTTCTGCTTTCGCCAGCTGATACACCCTCTCTGGAGCACAGAATGTCACTTACAACAAAGGACTGAGGTTTCTCTTATCATATCTTATTACTGAAAAATGCAGCGACTTCAGCACATAGGAACTTTTCCCAAAAGAAGGTGCTGTAAGCAGAGCACACCAACTAAAAGGCCACACGGAGCAGCTGACCTCTGTGCCCTACGTAACTCAGGCCACAAAAGGCCTGCACGGGAATTCCACCTGCGTGGGAACTATAATTCCTTCCATTTCATTCCCATCCTTATGCGAGAATTTCCAGATCCTCTGGCACATGGTTTGAGATTATTTTCTGATAACACAAATACCACTTTAGCATGAAATGTTCAAAAACCAAATTATTCTGACTACATATTTATTCCTAGTGCCCGGTGCCCGGCCCTCTGTCCTTACACAGTGACTCTGAGATAATGGGACGTCTTTGTGAACTTCCTAAAAGCCATCCCACGTATAGTGACCTAATTTCAAACTTTTGTCCCCTTTTCTTCTGTATCCCATCGAATCATAAAAGCTCTTTCTGCTTTTCTTGTAAGCTCAATAAAAATACAGAATTGACGTTTACGACTACTTACTATTTAAATATTTGGCCATGACATAGTATCCAGTGGTGAAAACAGACACAAAGTCACATTTACAGTATACTAGTAAAATAAACAAAAATTTTACAGACCAAAAAAAGACATCATATTCTTTTTTTAACAATTTTTTACCGCTATTTTAATACGTTTCCTTCTAATTACTAAAGATTATGCTTATAACAAAATGAAACTTTATAAAACGTCTACTTGCCTCTACATAACTCTTCACAAAAGGGTCCCAAACACCAGGAATTTGAATCAATGCACAAAGGTTTACAGATGTCTTCCAGCCGTGGCTGAGCATATTCTGGGATGTTGTGTTGTACGCATAATCATCCTCGTCTGCCCAAAGACAAAGATTTTTGAAAGTCTTTCAGTATTAAAGACTCCTGCTGAGTTAGTCACCAATAACTAGTCGCGAGAAAAGCTCAGGGCCTGATGTTTTCACTGGTGAATTCTAACAAACATTTAAAGGATAATACTAATTCTTGCAAAGTCTTCCCCTCGAAAAAAAACAGAGGGAAGACTTCTCAGTGCATTTTATGAGTTCAATATTATCCTGATACCAAAACCAGATAAAGACAATGTGAGAAAACTCTAGAACAATATTCCTTATGACTACAGTTGCAAAAATCCTCAACAAAATACATGCAAACCGAAGCCAGCAACACATAAAAAGGACTACACATCATCCCCGAGATCAAATTCGGAGTCACGGTATGACTGCCGAGGTTCCTACAGCAGCCCCCTTGCCCGTGGTTTTACTTTCCATGGTTTCAGAGACCCAGTCAACCCCAGTCGGAGAATATTAAATGGAGTTCCAGAGACAAACGTTCTTAGGCTTTACATTTCTACGTAAGGTTCTTATGAGTTTGGTTACACAGAACTAGTCCTTAACGTTTTTCTCATTCAATAGACTTTTGAGGTTGAAAATCGTCTAAAGAGCCCCACGTGTCATCTCATCTTCATCCCTTGTGGCTACAGAACGAGTGTCAGCTACAGAAAGTTGCTGATTCATCTGCCCACGGTTCCAACTGCTTTCATCACCTGACTGTGCGTAAGAAAAGTAAATACTGACTTTAAAGTTTGTCTAATCAATTAATATCAGTAAGCCTCTTTAAAAAGAAATATTACAGTAGGCATTACAGCAAAGTTCACAAAAGAAACAGGACAGATGTGTGACTCAAAAACCTGGTCTAGACGAGGAGACAGCACATAAAATACATGTGAAAAAACTGAGAACAATTAAAAAGCAAGAGATGAAGAGCCAAATGACATCGGCTGACGGTGTGGCTAATCTGTGAGGTTTACGGTACAAGAATGGGGGTCTGAAGAGTCTTGAAGGGCAGAGGGCATTTAAGTGAGGAGACCCCACAAAGATCTCACAAGCCCACCTTGATGAAGACGGCATTTCAGAAGTGTCTTGGGAGAGATGAAAGACAGGAGACAGAGGGGAATTTTGAGATTTGTGACTAGACACTAAATAACTACTTATCTCATAAGCATAATAAGGAAACACTGCTTATCACATATGACATGGTAAATACCAGGACTGAAATGTAGATAGAGAATGAGAAAATTAAAAGAAATTCTGGGGTTCATTCTAGGGAAGCTACGGAGAAAAACCGTACATACAAGAAAAAGAAAATGCACAGATTCTATACCTCTAAAGACCACAAACATGGGGCGGGGAGAGGATACCATCGCCACCGAGAGCAAGAGAAGGGGCACACGGTCACTCTTTGGTATGCTCCGTAAATTCAGAAAACTGTCCATTATGACCTTTGTATAGAAATGAAACAACTTCATCTTGCGCAATTCTTCAAACATATCATTCTGAGAAACAACGTTATAAAACAAACTAAACCCCGTTCGAAACATGCAGGAAGTGTTTATTAAGTGCAGTAATGCCTGCTGCAGAAAACTGTAGCCTCCCTTGGATATCCCATTTTAAAAGCAATAAACCTAAAGTGGTCATAAACTCATCGGTCATTTCATTTAAGTCTGGAAAGTTTTTTGATATGTCAGAAATACTATAAAAAAATGATCAAGAATCTCACATCGGTGGAAACATAAGTGCTCCGTACTACCTGGTTAAATCTAGGCTGGGAAGTAGGGGGTTCGGTTACTCCTCATGGCCCCTCTGTCCCTCTGATTCGGTCCGACACCGTAAGAAAAAGCTCACGCGTACGCACTCACCGAGCTTAGACAATTCCATCTTCTTTTTAGACCAAGTATAATATTGCAAGAGCCCTTTATAGGCCTGAATTAGGTTGATTAATACTTCCTGGGAAGATGACTTTTCGCCGTATCGCCACGTCTCTGCCTGGCTGAGACTTCTGCTGGCATCGTCAAACATTCCATGATGCAGAAGGTACAACGCATGTTGCAAGGAGATCTGCAACAATAACGAGAAAACGCCCACTGTCACGGGTCGCAGGGTAACCGCTCGCCAAAAAGCTCAGTAAACGTGATATACGCTGCGCTAAGGCCTGGGTAGGACACGAATGATGTAACAGCACTGTCCCTGTCGTTAAAACTTTCCATCTAGCAATGAGGAAGGATACGTACACCACGCTATGTAAATGAGAGGTGAATCATGCGAGCTTCCAAACAGAAGACAGAGTGACGTAGTGAAAACAACGGGGCCTTTGGAGACAGAGGTCCTGGCTCTGTAAGCGGAGCCGAATGGTGGGGGCTGAGGGTGAAGGGGACAGCGAGAGGCTGGTCGAAGCGGAGAGTAAGTTCCAGGAATCTCACGTACAGTTATTAACGATGGATCCTACGCTCCGAAGTCGCTATGAGGGTGGAGCGTTCACATTCCCACCATCACGGCGACAAAATGGTAATTACGTGATGGAGGATGTTAACTCGCCTTACTGTGATCACTATCTCACAGTGCAGCCGCGTAGCGAGTCATCACGTCGTTCACGTTACACTTAGACAATGGTATACGTTAATTACAGCTCGATAAAGCTGGGGGAAAACATTTTCACAAGTTCAAATTCCCAATTTGTTTAGCTCTATCTTCTTCCAAAAGTGCCCATTCCGAGGAAGCTCGAATGACTTAATAATGAGAGGTACTGGAATTCGGCCCACCTCCGTAACGGAGCGCGACCACCACCTCTCGGGCCCCAGTTTTGGAAGCGAGAGCTCTGCAAAGAGGAGGCAGAGAACAAGGTGGGCGACACGGCGCCGCCTCCCCTCGGCCCCCCTCGTTTACATCCAGGCGCCTCACCCTTCTGTCATGCCTTTTACGTGACTGCCCACCTCATCACTGAGACCAGCGATTTTTAAAAACAAACACCGCAAACGTAAATTCCCAAGGCCTACATTCTCTCTCACCTTCAAGTAATTCATGACACCAATATTTTTCATCCTGTCAGCAAAGGTATTAAAAGTCTCCACGCCACTTTTGGGATGATAGTAGAGGATTTCACTTCCGAGCTTCCAAATAATCTGTCAAAACAGAAATTATCAACAAAAAGGTAAAAATCTTGCCTTAACCAATGTCTGCCTACGATAGCTATTTTTTCTGATTACAACAGTAAGAAGCAACTTATGACTGCTTTTCCTAGATGCCACTACTGTGAACACTTCACTGTACTTCACCTGTAAAATCATATTATATCTTATGTGATAAAATCTTTTCCATCAATCAAAATACTCGATAAGTATAACAGTGCCATTTTTAAGTTAGTCTAAAGAAGGCAGGCAGTTAAGATACACATTGAAAATAAAACTTTTAATTAATATAGAAGATTATTAAACTCAGAAAACTTGGCTTCTATTAATACTGGCTTCTGCGCTGCTCTTGGTCTCAGCTTTATTATCTGCAAAATGGGAACAGTGGACTAAATGCCTCCTGACAGCTCATCACACTCTACAACTACGGACCGTGTAATCTACATTCAGAACTCCAATTTAAGAATTTTCACCAGCTATGGACAAATTTTAGTAAAACACATTTTCTCCCCAGACACCAACACTTTGGTGACAGAACTTGAAGTTCTTTTTCATGGGAGTGAATCTCATTTTCTCTTTTCCCAATTTAAAGTATTTCAATAATATTGACCTTAAAGTAAATTTAAGTGGATTTTGAAACAATTCTTTCTATGAACACACGTACTGGTTGTTGGGTACGATCATAACACTCATCTTTCCAGCTCACATCGAGATTTCGTTCGTAGAATACCAAAGTGTAGTATTTGGAGCTTAAAGAAAACTTGGAGATTATCTATCACATTTGTTCTTAAACCTAGCTGTACGTAAGAATTACCTGGGACACCCACTAAAATAACTATTCTAGAGAGTCAGACTCTGATTCAGAAGAACTGGAGTGCGAGCACAAGAATCTATATTGTTGACAAAAGCCTAAGCGATTCAGATTGAGCCAAACAACTGTCTGGAAACCACTGATTCCTCTATTTACAAAACAAACTCTGAAGAAAAAGAGCCTCTGACTTGTCTCATGTTTTAAAGATGCAGAGAACTTCATTCCATAAACTAAATTTTCAATGAAGGTTACATTCTTTTCTTTTGGGTTTTTTGGCTCTATTAGATATCTAACTGATGCGATGGCCGCTGTATTAGTAAAAGCTACCTGAGATATTCGCATGATGTCATTTGTGGATGAGCTGCCTCTTACTGAACAAATTTAACAGTATATGCCAGGCACTGTTCTAGACCCCGCCCTTGCTGAATTCATTCTACTGTAGAGCGACAGACAGTAACCAAGAAACGCAGTAAATGGGCAAGTATTACGGGAAAAGAATCCAGTGGGAAAGGGGAACGGGAGTGACCGCTGGAGGGGGGCTGGCACGCAGTGCCATTTTACATAGTTATGACAGGCCTAGTTGAAAACGTGACTTGACGGAGGGCAGCCGCGGGGACATCTAAAGACCATTCTGAGTAAAGGAAAGAGCTACGGCAAAAGCAAGCGGGCTGGAGGAGATCTGGCCTGGAGCAAGAGCAAGGAGGCAGGGAGGCTGGACAAGAAAACAAGAGTGGGAGAGTCCAGGAGCTGA